GCGTAAGCACAAACTTTGACCGAAGTCGCGCATGTCAATGCATGTAAACGTCATACAAGCCGACGACAAATCCAGTCTTCGTGAATGTACGTCAATGCGGTTTTGGGCATATGTTGAGTATCAGGCACTCTGGCCCTATGATAAAATAAGCCCTCCGTAAGCGCCACCACTTTTGCCAGACCGCCGCGACTGCAGACGTGATTGTTAGTGTTTTAGCATCACCACAAGGTTAGCACGACATTTCGTCGCAGAGCGCGTTATGAGTCACTGCTCACCCCAGGGGTATGGTTATAACGTTGCACGGCATCGCCGCAACCTTGAAAGGGTTTCTCCCACCACCTACCATCCACATGAGGTAAACGCATATGCTCCACCAACCATTGCAATAGTTAGATATAGCCACAATTGTGATTTTTATGTTTAGCCATCAGAAGGGTTTATAATTGGCAACATATATTTATTTGTCAGTATCTCTGACGTTGAGTATAATGTATTTTCGATCAAGTTTATCTCACCTACCAGCAAGTTGCCATTATTCGTTCAAACGGTGCGAACTTTACTGAGATTCGTTAATAATGATAAAACGTATAAGGAGGTCAGACAGTCTGCAGTTCCGTCATCAGGAACCCGACTTGGACAAATCTACTGAGATGTGCATCAAACTGAGACGCAGACTCGGCCGTTATGAATAGCGTCGTCTCCCAAGCAAATGTCGCAAAACGCAATGTCACTAAATGCAACATGCATCAATACAACTATCGCAGGTCAACACGCCAACATACAGCCTATCCGCATACACAGCAGACATCATCACCTCGAATCTCCGTCAACCAGAATCACACGATGCAATGATATTAGGCGCAGATCACCCCGAAACTACCACAAGACGCATTACTGCATCGCATTAGCCGCACGCATCAATGTGACTATCACGTAGGTAGCACACCCTCACACTTAACAATCACAATAAACTTAACTTCGGCACCAAAGTTTAGAATATACTCGGAAGACCAGAAGTGTCCAAACATACTCTTTCACGATCCGAATGATAGTCGACGTATCGTAATAGCATAGCGTAAACACTAAGACGCAAACCACCAACGGACTCCCACCCCAGTCAAGCAATAGCCAACGTATCATAGTGGAATACACTAAGACGCAAGCCACCACCAGACTTCCCAAAGTCAAATGATCAGTCGACGTATCATAGTACAACACACTAAGACGCCAACTACCACCAAACTCTTACTATGCCGAATGACAGCTAATGTATCATAGTGATGTCACTAAGACGCCAACTATCAGCAGCTATCGATGATATGTCCACCACTGAAGACATATCCATTCATGGTTCCACGTTTACCGTAGACCATATCGTACAGAAGTACCACGCAACTCCATAGTAATATCTCTTATAAAGTCCCATGTCATTCATTCCTCTTCATTATTTTATATATTTATTATTTTTTCTCTGAGCCTTCACATATATCACTTTTATTCATTAGACCTTACTTCCATATGATTTTGGTATGGGACGTTCATACAATGTACTTTCACTATAGTACTAAGAGTCGCGATCGACCTCTGTTCTTATATATGTACGGTCGTACAAATGTGTCCCCGCACGGTACATAATACTTCCCTTAGAAATCACTAAGTATGGAATTGTATTTTATTGACATAATAGTGATCGTATCTTTCTATATTTTAATAAATATCCTTTTTTTGAGTATATTAAATGATTTTTAACTATTTTTTATCAATTTTGGTAATATCATTTTCCAAAACTAACACTTATATTTCTTTAATTTAAGTATATATTATTAACTTTTATTGTGATTAAACGTTCTTGAACGTTTTATTTTCATCTTAATTGATCTTTATTGCGATTAATTAATAATAATGTTTATTATTATTAATAGGGCGTTACAGTATGTATAAAGGAAAGGAACGATATTACGATGCGTTTGACCCGTTAATGCAGTTTAATTATGTACATGTGAAAAATTATAAGTATTTGAAAAACTAGAAATTTACGCAAAGTATTATACATATTGATAGTTTGACAAATAACAATAATTTATCGAAGTTTATGTGAAGTTTTCAACAGGTATATATTTAAATAGTATACATACGGAAACTCCCATAACCTCTTTTTTTTTCATCTGGTGAGTGAGGTATCGCGACCTATTTTTTTAAAGTTTGTCAACGCATCGGCAAGGACCCAGTCGCACTTAACATCTGGTGAATGGTCGGCTCGCTTGAAAACTTAAACAAAAAAAAATGATATGGATTCCTTACTAAACGAACTAAACACCGTAGGCATCAATTACCTTAACTTACATTTGAGTGAACAATGATCCTACCTTACTTTTTAGCATAGTATTTTAATTAATTAATCTATTCACAAAATGTGCAGTTAAATGATATTAATGACCGTCGAAAACGTTCCTATAGATTTTTTATTATAATTATAATAATGAAAATGTATCGTACCATTTTTCATACATCATTTAATGCTAAAGGGATGAAACGTTGACATCGGCAATTTAGAAACTCGATCAACATTTAAGAGTCCCCATCAGCCGGGCCACTAACGAATCGCTCTAACCTAAATACCTCTGTGTAAATATACTCAGGTGACATGAAAGCGACACGCCTGGCAATTTCATTATTGGAATTCTATTACCCATTTCTATTATTGGGTATAGGTTTCATGGTACGCTCAGCACCAATCGTTAGGTCGAATTCCATAAATATAATCCGATTACCGGCAATTTTTTTTATACATGATACTACAAAACCATTATTTACGATTTCTATGTCCGTTTTTAGAAATTCTATTCCAACAAGATGGATAGACAAATAATTAGTTTATATTATTACTATAAACTTTGAAACCATCGCATTATAAACATAAACATATTTGTCAAATCTTAACTTAAAAAAAAAATTGCAAAATTTACCAAATAAATATGCAGCTCATAAAGTGTTCATAACTGTTTTTATTATAAACACTTAAATATTTTTTCCTTTATGTTGTATAAGATATGTTAAAGAGCAGTGGTAGTTACACGCAACAGTGTTGTCCGTTTCACAAATGGGCAGGTCCGCCTGAGGTGAGTACCAAGATCTCATAGAAGACCGGCGTGAAGTAGAAGTGTTAAGCTATTGAGATTCGGCTGGCGAGTGAGGTAACCGGGGCCCACTTTATTGAGCAGTGGCACCGCATCTGCATACCCACGGGTATTGCATATCTCCATGAGTTGTGGGTATCACTTGACATCAGACGTACCGCTAGCTCGTTTGCCACCTTCTCACATAAAAAAAGAAAACAAGCGAGCCTTACAGTATTCGTATATGATATCTCAGCGTGGTAACATTAACACTATATCCTGAGAAAAATTATTCAGGTATTACTTGTAATGATTTTTCGTAACGAAGAATAATTCTTTTTATTGGAAACTGTACTTTATTTCGTTTAATTTTTGTTATCATCAAAGTTTATTAGTAAATCAATTGTTATTTATCTCTCGTTCTTAAATAAACTTCTACAGAAATTAGCCTCAATATCTAAAGATGCTAAAAACTGAAATATTTATTCGAATAATTATTGGTTATTACATATTTTTCAATGATGTTCCGTACTTTTTTCTGAAATTTATTATCAAAAGTAATTTTATTTATAAACAAAACATAAAGCATACACAAAATTACACACATAACGTAGTTTATATAACAGCCGACTTTGTAAAAACTTCGTGCATTACGCTTACAGCTGATGTCCCAATTATCTTCTTCTCCGGCCGCCTGTTTCACACTTCCATCTTCTATTCTACATGAAATCACTTCCACAGATTGAAATAGGCGAGAGGAAACATTTTGCACGTCAATAAATGTTAATTTATTGTTTACTAGGTTCCGTGAATGATGTCCAACGAACCTACGCCAACATTAGTGTATAACGAATCCACGCCATACAATAATGGTGTCCACGACTTATATGGAACAATCTACGATGACAAAAACGAGACAGGAAATTCCACGGAGGTAAGGCTTCCTCGATGTTTTCATTTCTAAAGCAGACTGTCGCATGAAAGTTGGTATCAAATAATCCATACGGTAAACTACCAATTTTGCGATTTTTTTAATTTTGTATGTTGTTGAATAGTTTTTTACTTCATTTTATAATTAATTAAAAAAACTGATTCTTGCATTATCATGTTTTAACCGGCTGCAACTAAACCATTATACCGTAAGCTGATTAATCAATTTATGGTATATCGGTTTAGTTGTGGCATAACAATGTTTTCGAGATTTAAAAAAATATACTGTGTTTTGTAAAATGGGTTCCGTCCTACATCTAAATGGCATAAACATGCAAAAGAATGAATAAATGAATACTTTTATTGTCCACCACACAAAAGGATACACAAAATTTACAATAGACAAACAGATTAATGGAATGCACAATTTGGCGGCCTTATCATAGCGATCTCTTACAACCAATGGCGTAAAGGAACGTTTATTACGTAGGTGGTGCAATAGTAACATAAATAATAAAAGTAAAGTAAAGTAACAGCCTATACATGTTTCACTGCTGGGCAAAGGTCTCCTCTATTTTCAGGACTATAGGCGGACTTCACGTATCTTCGAAAAATATATTTTTTGTTATTATTTCGAAAATATGCAGGTTTCCTCACGATGTTTTCCTTCACCGCGGAGCACGTGATAAGTCGGCTCTTAAAGTTAAAAACTTCATTGATGTCGTGGTCATAAATAATATATAACTAAATCAAATACATAAAAAATACATACATATATACTTATACACACTCATAAATACATATTTATATACATACATACATAAATGAACATATATATATATATATATATATATATATATATATATATATGTGTGTGTGTGTGACTATAAATAAAAAGAAAGAGAAAGAATGTAGTTTTGTTTTTGTGTATCGTCATCGAAAAACTCTTTTCAGATATACCAATCATTCATTCTGCCGTGGTGGCGTCAAATATTATGGACGGCGCTGTTTGGTGGCATGGTGGTGGTCGCCACTGTGGGGAACTTAGTAGTGATATGGATCGTTCTCGCCAACAAACGCATGAGGAGCGTCACTAACTACTTCTTAGGTGCTCCATTTTCCTAAGTCTCATAAATTTAGGACTTGTAATGGCTCAAATGTTTACTAATTTACTTTTCTTTTCAGTCAATCTATCGGTCGCGGACGCTATGGTGTCAACTTTGAATGTCACGTTCAATTTCACTTATATGCTGTACTCCGATTGGCCATTCGGTCATTTCTATTGCAAATTCAATCAGTTCATTGCGGTAGTCAGCATATCCGCTTCTGTATTCACCTTGATGGCAATAAGCATAGATCGGTGAGATGGTTTACGTTATTTGATTTAGTTTATGTCCATAGTAATCCCACTAGAAATATTCTCCAACTGTAAAGGCGTCTTGAAATTCAAATACTGAATTTGCACATCGTACAAAAGCTAAGCCCGGATGAAAATCAATCAACCGTAGTTTAAAAAGGCAGAAAAAGTCAAATGAAAAGTTAAACTTACTTATATTCCTTGAAAAAAAGTACTGATTTTTATACACACCGGCACAATTAGCGGAACAGAAAAAAAAGTGAGACTATGAGATAATAACGCATATATTTGACGAAAATGTAATTAGACACAAAATAACAAATTGATTAACATCTTTTAACAACGACTTTGAAAAGTCTTCGTTATTTTTTATTGAAAAATAAAGAAATTTGAAATAAGTGAAATTTTTAGATGATTATGAACCATCACAAAAAATAAAAAAAAGTAAGCATTAAATGATTTAACAATAAAATTAAAGCAAAATTAATAACGAGTGTTTCCCCCTCTTGCTCTGATTACGGTTTCCATTCGTCTGGGCATGCTACAGATTATGTTATCGATGATTTCTTGAGGCAACCGCCCCCACTCCTCAAGTAATGCGTTTCCAAGTTCATTCAGATTGTTGGGGGGTGGCATTCTGGATTTAACCCTTCTTTTTAGCAAGTCCCAGACATGCTCTATCGGATTCTTATCGGGGGAATTTGCTGGCCACTGCATCAACGGTATAGCTACGTGGCTCAGATATGCCTGTACCGATTGTGCACTATGAGCACGAGCATTATCTTGCATTAGAATAAAGTCGTCATCAATAAATGGGGCAAATGGTACAACATGTTCTTCTAAAATGTCTCTGATGTATCGATCTGCTGTCATGGTCCCTCCTGTGACTATCACTAACTCCGTACGAGCTCCCAAACATATCCCTCCCCAAACCGTAATCGAGCCGCCACCATAAGCCACTGTGTGTTCAAAATTAGACTGTATGTGGCGTTCTCCTTTGCGTCTCCATATTCGCTGTCTCCCATCGATCTGTTTTAAAAGAACTCTGCACTCATCAGTAAAGAGAACCTGCTGCCATTCGTTCAAATCCCAATGACGATGTTCTCGCGCATAGCTTAATCGGTTTACGCGGTGACGTCTCTCAAGTTTTGGGCCTTTGGCAGGTATATACGACCCTAAACCAACTTCTTCAAATCTCCTGCGAACTGTACGCTCACTTACTCGTACTCCTCGAACGTCTTCCAGTTCATTTCGAGCTTGTACAGCCGTTAATCGCGTATTCCTACGAACTCCAAGTTGAAAAAAAACTGTCATCTCGCCTCGATGTACATCTTTTTCTACCTTGACCCCTCCTCCTCACAAAAGAATTAGACGATCTGTACCGCTGGATGCTGCGATGAATCGTTGATACTGGTCGACGAAAAAAGTGTATGTCATCTAATTTTCTATTTTCAAATTTGACAATAAATTAAAAAAATATCATAACTGGCCAGTTCCTCAAGTAAAAGATTTTAAAATCCTGCTTTTTTTTGTGTTCCGCTAATTGTGCCGGTGTGTATATTTTAAGTCTTAATCTAACCGGATAATATGTAATTTTGTAAAATTTACCGCAAACTATTATTAAAATGTAATAACTTAGTTTACAGCTCAAAACAAACGAGCTTTATTTGAGTGCAATATATATTTACTTGTTTTATTCATATCCCTTCATAAGGAAATGATGAGGTCATTTCCTTATGAGCATGTATGTATTATTTTATTTACTAATAGTTAAAATACAAATTATAGTAATATTATAGATAATTAAATCATTATCTCTCTATCCAGTTAGAGTGTACCTACCAGTATAGAGGAAGTACCAGGAAGTTGTTATTTGTTTACGCTATGCCATTGGTCCAATTCCTTTTCTTCGGAATAATTATTTGCTATAGCAACACATCACTCTGAAACTAAACTACTTATTTGATAAGGAAACAAATAATTAAAAGCCTAAATCGTTTCCTTCGAAGGTGAAAATAATGATTACGCAATCAGTAATTTTGCCGAACCTTTTGAAGTTCTAAGATTTTTCCTGCTTTTTTCATTAGTTTATTCATGCATTTTATTTAAAGGTACGTGGCCATTATGAGTCCACTCCGCCCGCGACTTGGGAAGCGCGCAACTTTGGGAATAGCAGCAGCTATTTGGGCAGGCAGTTCCATAATAAGTAGTCCAAACATTGCGTACTTCACAACTGACGTGGATATATTGCCAGACGGTAGTACGAGGTAACAAAGCTAACTAATGCAATTGACAATACCAAAGCTATATTACAAATTTTAGCCATAATATGAGAGTAAGGAGTAAATTATTACTTGAAAAACAATTTGAATTGGTAACGATGACCCAATTGAAGTAATATATCTGTGGTCATCATCTGAATGTTTGCCATATGACTACTTTTTAAGTATAGTATCAACCCATGCATTTCTCATTGCCGGTCAAAGTCTTCCTCTGTATCTTATACTTGGATCTACATTCGTAGTGGGTTCGTGTGATGTCCATCTTGATATCCATATCTTCCACATGTTTTATTTTTTACTTTTTAGAAAACATTTGTGAATCATGTAGTTATCGATATTCATTTTTGAGTCATCAGACAATATCATATGAAATGGCTGATTATAACAGTTAACTAAAACAATAAAGAATTATTTAAAAAAGTGGTGTGAAATCTTGAAAATAATTCATTGATTGCGTAATACCTTGAATTAAGCTATCGATAGGCCCTAATCTTCTTCTCTATTACAATTTTAGCCCCACAAATCATCTTTGTGAGGAACTGGTATTTATGTGTGAGTATTTGATTGTTATCAAGACCAATGTTATGATTTAGTTTAAAAAATTGGCATATTGAATATTAAATAACCAAACTATGATAAACGATAGTACATTTCTCGTGAGGACCCAGCCATTTCTTGGATTTAATATTGGCTTCAAATGCCAATGGCTCAGTGGCCAAAACATAGAAATAAACAATTCTACAATAATAGTATTAACAATATGCACCTGAGAAGCGTGTTATTGGGACTAAGTTTCCTTCAACTGAACACGACCGATACCATGTTATTAAATTCGTACATCTAAGTGGCCCATCCTGCATATTATTTCTTCTACATTTTACGGAGAGATTAAAGTTTTTTGATATTCTCAATTTTTCAATGTGAAACTGTTTAATAATTGCTTCTACTTCTTCTTAATACTATTCTATAATTAACACTTTGTTCCTCTTTATAGACGCGTGTGCTTTCCAGAGTGGCCTGACGGAATTACAACAAGATCGCAACTTGAATATGTGTTAGTATATTAAATCCTTAATCGTATTATCCAACAAATATCGATAAAATTATTAATCTTGATTGGCTTCAGTTAATCGTGACATCGTTTATTTATTGAGGTATATTTGATTACAGCCAGTAGTACTTACTACTACTCAAAGTAATATATTGCATATAAAATATAACCGTGACACAAACCTTCAGTATCAAACTTTACGTTATTGCTTAAAGTTACGTAAACTTTAAGATTGAATGTTTATGGCTGAAAGTTTACATCATAATGAAAAATGTGCTGTACCTAGTAGGTAATACCTTCTCCCATTGGAAATAACCAAAATTTTATTTGAATTATACAAATATGACTGGAAATGTAATTACAGTAAAGTTTAAGGTTTATTTTCAGGAATTAAATCTTAATTTTTTCAGGAAATAAAAATCGATTTTGCAAACGAAATCATTCATTAAATATTCAACAATATTTCAAACAAACTAAAACATTAATGTGTAATAAACTTTTCACAATTTTTCAGATACAACGTAGCGTTCATGGTGTTGACATACTTTCTTCCAATCATATCGATGACTTACACTTACGCACGAGTAGGTGTAGAGCTTTGGGGATCACAGTCAATTGGAGAATGTACACAGCGACAACTAGACAATGTTAAAAGCAAGCGAAGGGTACGTAGTTAAATTTTTCATTAAAAACTTCATAAAATAAATTATGTTTATGAAAAATAAATTGACTTAAATTGAAGATAACTAAGTGGCTTTTTACACAGATTGATAAACTAACGAACTTTTTTTTTTTTTTTAATTTTTGACGACAGGTGGTAAAAATGATGATAGTGGTTGTGGTAATATTCGCTGTGTGTTGGCTGCCGTTTCACGTTTACTTCGTTGTGACTTCATACTACCCCGAGGTGGTCAACTACTCTCATATTCAAGAGATATATCTTGGCATTTATTGGCTGGCCATGAGCAATTCCATGTACAACCCCATCATATACTGCTGGATGAATTCTAAGTAAGTGAAATTAAATTAAAAAATTAGTTGTTACTTTATCATGCAAAGCACAGCTACGAGTCAGTGGGTCGTAGTTTTATAACTGCCGAATCAAAGTAAAATTTAGAATTCAAACATTACGTTCCTATTGAGTTTAATTTCGGGAAGTCGATGGATGCAGGTGGCTCAGGATCGTACTTCGTGGCAGTCTATGGAGGAGGCTTGTGTACATCAGAGGACTCAAACAGGCTGAAATGATGATGATGAGGAGTTTAATATTAAATACTTCTTTTTATGTCAAATGGTGTCAAGTGATAGTCGATAGAAGTCGCCTAGAGTTAAGTGATAATCGCCGCCACATGGACATTTACATCACGCGGCAAATCAAGCGTTGCACTCAATTACATGATGCAACAAAGTTAAAGAAAATGCTATTTTAGGTTCAGGCGGGGCTTTAAACAGTTTTTCTGGTGTTGTGGGGCTTTCGGAAATGGTGGCCTGAATAGACACAGGGCTTTTGGACCGGACCATATGGACAGATCACTCCGTTCACTGTCGCCAAGCCGGAAGAATGGAACAAGTATTAACTGTATTCTATAACATAGCATATGTGTAAGCTTTTGATGATATGTAAAAATGTTTCTTTTTTTCACTTTTTACATAAATGTTTAAAGTCGTCTTCAAGTTTCCTAACTCTTTTACATTTTTTTTAAATATTTTTTATTGTTTGTCAATCTACATTTTAACGTTTGTTGTAATTCTACCTTCCAATCCTTTCTGCTTTACTTTTCTACTCTGTGTGACCTTTTGCCAAGTCATAGATGAGAATATTCTTCTCCGTAGGTTTGTTCAAGGCAACAACCAAAACAACAAAATTCATCAAAAAACCGTCCGGCCCTCCCAATTTGCTGCATGCAAATAAAATTCACGAGTAGGAGATTTCCGGACGCCAACCTTATAGTTGGTAATTTCTTATTTTACCGTATCCCCGAATTGCGTGTAACTGAATTTTTGCACGGTCGCAGTTGAATGATATTTATTAACTTACCCCGCATCATTGCCTGCTTACACATCCGTTCGTTAAATAACATTGGCTTTGTCGCAGTCTTATCGCCAACTTTGACGTTTCTTTGAGCTTCCTTATCACCTGTATTCTCTTGTTTATCCGATCAGGTACCATCCGTATCTCAATGCACAGCACGTACAACAATACGTTGGTGAGTAGCGCCTGACATAGGCGCGCCGCTGACGGCGGCCACAATGACTCCCTTCACCACAGCGTGGACAGGACATGGATTTGACGGAAGACCAGCGCCCCGCGCACCCAGCCCACCCCGCATGAGCTGTACGGCTAATCCACTTAAAGCCACAATCCTCGCAACCAATCCAGGTGGCTGGAACATGGCCTACAAGTCGTGTTACTAATATAGTGCCATTTGTAAATATTGAATTATGAAAATGGACCAATGTCGATAAAATGGTTGACTACTTCGTATATTTATTCATTCACCGGTTTCTTGTCAGAATTAAACATTAAGTTGTGTACTTTAATAGTTTATTAAAGAAGATGAAATCTTTGAAAAAGATAATAGTGGTAATATGTATTAAAAGTAGTATGAAAATATTTTAAAACTTAAATTAGTAATATTGCTCTTCAGGCTTTAATAAAACGTTTCCAATATATTTATAGAAAACAGAACTAATCTTTGTTTTACGGAGTTAAACCTGATATATGTTTATAAATTAATAATGAACACAAATAAAAGATAATAAAGAAAAATTTAGATAACATAAAATACATTCACTTACCGTATTTCATAATATATTTAAGAAGTAAATTTTTATCCAAAACAGAAATAAATTCTCGAACTGTAGGTACTTGTTTTATTTTGTCATAGACCTTAAAAAAAATCTAAATATGTTATAAATTTATAAGATTTTTATTTACATATTAAATAAAAAGAATGTAATGTTTATAAAATATATGCAACTTGTTATACAGATACAATATGTTACCTGCCTCTCGTCTCGTTCATAAGAATGATTTTCGAGCTATTAAACCATGAAATTTATGTTATGACATAAATATGTTCCTTGTATCTAATATATGATAAGTTAAGAATCTAGTCGTAAAATCTTCTTCGTTATAAATGATTAATATAGAAAATTATTATCGAGATAAGTGATGTGCTATATCATAAAATATTTGATTTTAAGGAAAATGGAAGACTTTCCTGGAAATACATAAAAAGAGAAAAAAGAAATAAACCTTAGGAAACTCCTTGAAGGAAATGTTTATCATAGAATAAATTACGGTTATTATTAAAATAAAGATTAAAAAGACACCATTTTTCTTATATAAAAAAAAGAAATAAACATTGAATACCTATCCTGCAAATTTGTTTGAAATATTTTCATAGTTGAAATAAAATTTTATAATCGATAATGTTGTCAAAAGTGTGACCCTTATTTTAAGAACTCGAGTAGAAGAATATCATAAAAAGTGTAAGATATTTATAAAAGTCAAACAATAATGATGGTTACTGTAAATACTAGAAGTTTCTAGGAATAATACAATAAAATGTTGTTTATCACATTACTGTATCAGATTAATCACAAAGGCGTGATTGTTATACATTACTACTTTTTTGTGTACATAACTACTTAAAAATTCTTATAAATGTCATTGAAAATAAAAATCGGAATCAAATGGTCTTTTATTTATAAAATTAAACTTAATCAGTTTAAAATAAACACATTCTTAGGTTGAAGTGAACCTGTAGTGAAGTTGAACATAATAAATTTTTGAGCAATGAAAAAACCATTCTCATTTGCAGTAACTATTAGTTATAAGTTTTTGTCTTTAAAAAATATTGAAAATCTATTTTATTTTCATGTAATAAAATTTAAGAAGACTTTTTATAACTACATGATAACATTAAAGACAGCTATATGCTAGAAAAACAACAAGTTCACTAAGTTATATCTATTCCAAATTTCGTATTGTTCCAATTGCGTATTGAAACCACGTAGTCTAACGAATTCACTTCCTTATGGTGACTTTGCACAAAGAGCATGGAAAACTTCGTTATAGATACGTAAAAAGTACCGACAACATCACCATCACCGTTGTTTGTCTGTAACTTTAGAGGGAACTTTTTTGATAAAAAAACTTCGCTGTAGACAACATCTGCTCTGTGATCTGAATTGCATTTTTGTAACTCAGCTGACAAGGTGGCAAACGAGCTGACGGTTCACCTGATTTTAAGACAAAACCACCACACATTGACATTTGCAACACAGCTAGAGTTGCGTAGATGCGTTGCCACCTTTTAATAAAGTGGGCCCCTGCTACCTCACTCACCAGGCGAAACGCAGAAGTGGAACACTTCTACTTGACGCCGGTTTTCTATGTGGTCCTGGTACTTACCCGAACCTGCCCATGCATTAATGAAGACCTGGCCTTGTCGCGTTTACTATTTATCTTACCTAGGACGATTAGTCCAGTTAGGCAATTCCAACTTCGACGCAGAAGTCAATCGGCGAATCGGCGGAAACTTCGACATATCTTATCTTCCCTCAATGTTTGAAGACCAAAGTCTTACATCAATGTGTGTTGCCAGTGATGACATACAGAACAGAGACTTGGTCCTTCACTGCACGGTATGAGGAAGCTCAAAGTCCCTCAGCGAGCTATGGATCAGCTATGCTCGGTATTTGCCTGATAGAGTTCGCAATAAAGACATCAGCAGTAGAACAAAGGTAACTGACGTCGTTCAGAGGTTTTGTAAGCTGAAGTGGCAACGTTCCGGCCATATAGGTCGAAGACCGTATAACCGATGAGGAAGAAAGGTTCTTGAGAGGCAGCTTCGTAATGGCCATCGTAGTTTAGGACGACTCCCACGAGATAAAGTGAAGACTGCCCAAGTTTGCGGAAAGTCGATGGATGAAAGTAGTTCAGAATTATTGTGCTTCTTGATGGTCTGCGGGGGAGGCCTTTGTTCAGCAGTAGTCTCAAACAGGCTGCAATTATGATTACATTAAACTCATCAATCCGCAGTGGGTTTGCGTGGTGAACCATGCCCTAACACTCTCTGTTCAGAGAGGGCCACTTTGCCCAGTAGTGGGACATATAGAAGCTGTTTACTTTTTTTAATATCTCGAATTTTGAACAAGAACGGTGAAATGCGAAAATTTTAAAATACGAAATATGAAAATTTTAAAATATGTTGGAACTTTTGTCAAAATAGGCTGTGAATAAACTTGATGTGCTTTCTTGTTAAACTTTTCGAGAGTAGAGTTTAAACGAGGCTTAACGCTCAAGAAGTCTTGCCAGAATTTGCAAGTTGCTTTCCGTGAGACTTAGCTTTTGTTGACAAGGTTTATTAGTTCTTACCTACGAAGTTAAGTGTTAAAATGATTAGTGCGAAGATCTTTGTATTCCAATCTATTTAAAGTTTGAAAGGGCAATGGCGAACTTCAATACATTTTTTTGCGCCTAAAGACGAAAAATATGCATTAAATATACGTACAAATTATTAATAAAGGAAGTTTTGAATAAAATATATTCAGGTATTTTTGGGTTTGCTTCTCCTACTTCTGATATGAAATTGAATAATAATGAAAACAGTGACTGCGGTCTATGTAAAACAGTAATTATGCCATAGATGTTTTGAGCACCCACAGGCAAGCATATTACGCCTCCAATATTCATTTCAAATCAATCTGACAAAATATTCATTGTAAACGGTTGTCATACATTACTATGAAGAAGAAAACTTTTACTAAATAAATAGATTTTCATGATAAAAATAGTACAGAAATATTTCTACCTTATTCCAGCTTTCAAAAAAAGACATACACATAAACCACGATATGCAAACAAGAAATATGGAGGACTTGAGGACCTGTAAATAATTTATCATTCAATCGAAAGTACATCATCGAAAGGACATCACACCAACAAAAAATATAGATTACAGTTCAGCGGTCATTTCAATACATACAAAAGTTCCCGATATGAAATATCAACGATAAACGCAGGAAACAGAAACTGGGAACCGCCAGCGCTACTTTAAACTGCTGCGTATTTACAAATATGCCAGGTGCAGAGCCTGACTCTTCCCTGTTGCTGAAGCCAGATTTGGACGAAATCCATAAGTGTAGTTTAAACAAACGCTTGTAGTTAAGTAGTGAAGTACGCAACCGAGTTTACAAATATAAAATATTAAGAATAAACAAAAGTACCATTAAACGATACTAGATTAATTTATTTTATTACAAGCGACTTATTATGCAATTTATGTATGCTATATATGTAAAAGAAAACAAAATAAGTCGCTTTTTACAAAATTCTGAGTAAATTAGTGTAATCGCAATTATTGTCGTGTGTTGATTACATCGTAAACACGAAGGCAAAGTTGGATCGCATAGATTTAATGAGCGTGTACGGATAAATCTCGATTGAATTATCCATTAATTTGTTGTTTCTATAAGTTTATATTTCAATGTTATATCTAATTTAAATGTTACTGCGATTGGGATTTTGTACAGTATCATTAAAATATGTATATACATATATCGAATTAGGATATTATAAAGACAAATATTTTTTTTTTATGACCAAAGAGAGCGTTCTGAATTACAACACCACAAAAGTATTTACGTGGTAATTGATAAGCTTTCAAAAACATAATAACCTTTTGAGGTTATTGTTTAAAAGGTTTGAACTCTGATTTACTAGTATTACGTATTTAATTATTTAGCAAGCAACAAAAATATAAAAAATGTTAACAAAGAAAACAACAAAAAATAGAAAATTGAAAAAATTAAATCTTAAAAAACAATATCTTAATGTAGATAATGTTATAAAATCCTGCTACTGTAACATTGATTGTCGAGTAAGGGCAAGTCAAGGGAATTGTCATCGATCACAAATTGGATATATCTGATAAATCGTGGTACAACTATTAGCGCGGTGGGCACGATAAAGTTCAAATCGATATAAGCGCAGAAACTTTTCCAATAAAACTCCTTAATCAAGATTAGAGTAAGTTAATTAAAACGATCAGTACGATACATGGCGTGTTTTACTTCAATTTAACGGCTATGTGAGTAGAAAACCAGCGTTTATTGCCAAGTACATTTGTTATGGACTTGAAGTACTGCTACATGGCGTGGCTTGGTAACTTACCATCTACAGTAAAGTTAGCGGGAAAATATCGTACAATTTTGCTGGCTGTTGAATTCAGTGTTAAAGTTAACATATATAATGTCAACTCCTAGGAATCGACACTTGCCACACCTCATCAACATCCGCCAAATAGAGACTGAATACAA